CTCCTCGGGAGGCTGAGGCAGGAGAATTGCTTGAACTCAGGAGGCAGAGATTGCGGTGAGCTAAGATTATGCCATTGCACTCCAGCATGGGCAACAAGAGTGAAACTCTGTTTCAAAAAAAAAAATTGTCCATTTTGTGAAAGTTTTAAAACTTGTTAACTTAAACATTTATACCTTAATGTCTGTTACATTTGTATTAATACTTTTGTTGTTGTTGTTGTTGTTGTTTTGAGACAAAGTCTGACTCTGTCACCCAGGCTGGAGCACAGTGCGATCTCCGCTCACTGCAACCTCCGACTCCTGGGTTCAAGCGATTCTCCTGCCTCAGCCTCTTGAGTAGCTGGGATTACAAGTGTCTGCCACCACGCCCCGGTAATTTTTTTGTATTTTTAGTAGAGATGGAGTTTCACCGTCAGGATGGTCTCTCTCTCCTGACCTGGTGATGCCCCCTGCCTCAGCCTCAAAGTGCTGGGATTACAGGCCTGAGCCACTGTGTCGGGCCAATAGTTATATTTATTCACTGCTTTCTGGTTCCTAACTTTATTTGTGCCTTCTGTTTTTTCTTAACCATTTCTTGCCAAAAGTTGATCTATCTTAGTAGCCTTCAAATAATTGCCTTTTGCTTTTTTCCACTTCTCTCTATTGTGTCTTTGCTTTTTATTGTATTAACTTTTGCTTTATATCTAATTTAAATTATTTGCCTTCTAATTTATTTTTGTTTATATGTTCTTTTTCTAACTTCTTAAATTGAACTCACTAATTTTCAATCTTCTTTTCTAATATAACCCTTAAAGCTATATATTCCTAAGTATTATTTTAACTGTATTCCTTATGTTTTGAAATATCACTTTTTCTAAGTTTTTAGTAATTTCCATAGATTTTTTTTTTTACCCATAGTTATTCAGAAGTCAAATTTCTGAATATATGAAGTTTTCTAAGAGTTTGTTGTTACTGATTTCTACTGTAATGTGCTCAGAGAAAACAATCTACTTAATATTTTTTGGTATTGGTTAAGATTTGCTTTGTAGTCCAGCATGTAATCAGAATTTGTATATATTCCCCCAACTAGATTTAACCTTCAACCATCTAGTTTAAAACTCCATCTTTTGCCTTGACAAAACTGTTTTGAAGTTTATAAGCCTGCTTGCTCTCATTTGCTCTCTCTCTGCTAATTAACAGGATTCCAGTGATTACTCTTGGGAATGCAAATCCTCCTAATAAACAACTGTTAGTAAAATAACCTCAGAAAGATGAGAATATTTTCCCTCTTTCCTTACAACATACTGTTCTACAACTTAAAGCAAGCACTGATAAAAAGATAAATTGAAATGTTTGAAAACTCATTCTTGTCCTTTATCTAAAATTAAGATTTTAAATCTTTTTTCTTGAATGTAAAAAAAAATTAAGATTTGTTTGAAAATGTGCCATTGTATTTTCTCTTTACAAGTGTTGTTAGAAAAAAAAAAAAAGAAAACATGAACTTCAGACATTGTTGCTATATCCTATAAAATACAACCTGTAGCCTCTGTGATCTATCTGCCTTTCTAATCATTGCCTTGCTTGATAAACTGTTACCTTCAAAGACCATTTACATTAACATTTCTGTTTTGCCAAAGAGATAGATATAGATATATAGATATATATTGGTAAGTTTGTTCTTGTTAGTCAAAAAGGTTTGGATTTACCTCTTCTTCCCTTATTCATATAATCTCATGACTCTCTTTGAATTCCAGAGTTTGAAAGATTTTGTTTTATTTAAACCAGTACCTGCTGTAACTTTTCATCTCTTACTTTCAACCATTTTGTGTCCTTATGCTTTAATTGTAACTGTGTAAACACCATATAGGTGGACTTTTAAAAAAATACAATCTGATATTCTCTGTTTTATAACTGACGATATTAATATAAATGTTGGTTGTGCATACTGACATATTGAAATTGTTTTGTCATCTTAGTTTGTGCTTTCTGTTTTACCTTGCTTTGCTTCTTTTTCTCCCTTTCTGCCTTTTTAATTAATAATTTTAAATTTTTTTAATTGATAGTTTTAAATGGATCATTTTCTTGTTCTCCTCTACTGGTTTGAAAATAATATTATTTATTTCCATTATTTTATCACAAAAAATTATTAGCATATACACATATTTACAATTTCTAATTCTATCCTGTATATCAATTATAACTTGCTTTTTAGATTTTTACTTCATTATCTCTCTAAGCTGTATTCTGCATAATTTGGGGGGATTTATCTTTCAATTCATAATTCTTTTTGGCTTGTCTGATCTGCAATTTAACTCATCTATAGACTTTTAGATTTCAGTGACCATATTTTTCATTTTGTAGAAGTTCTTTTTCACCTCTTTCCAGCCTGCCTTGATAGTACCTTATTCTTTTCTCATATTTTTAATTCTTTCTTATGTTTAATGACTTAAACATACTTTATAGTCCCTGTTAGTTCCATTATTTAAAAGTTGTAGGAGTTCGGCTGCAATTTTATTCTGACTGCCATTAATAGTAGGTTGATTTTTTGTTTGTTGGTTGGTTGGTTTTTAAATTTAATTTATTTTTTTGGTTTGTTTGTTTTTTGAGATCAAGTCTTGTTCTGTTACCCAGGTTGGAGTGCAGAGGTGCAATCTCAGCTCACTGCAGCCTCTGCCTCCTGAGTTCAAGCGATTCTCCTACTTCAGCCTCCCGAGTAGCTAGGATTACAGGCATACACCACCACACCCTGCTAATTTTTGTATTTTTAGTAGAGACAGGGTTTTGCCATGTTGGCCAGGCTGGTCTTGAACTCCTGACTTCAGGTGATCCACCCACCTCAGCCTCCCAAAGTGCTGGGATTACAGGCATGAGCCACCACGCATGGCTCAGGTTGATGCGTTTTACTTTGGATTATGAACTCATCTTTAAGGGACATCATTGTGGGAATATTGTGAGCCCTGAATTGAGATGTATCCTAGAGAAGTTTTGTCTTTGTTTCCGCCAGGCTTCCTAGGGAATGATAACAGCTGGAGGCATGCTAACATATAATTTTTATCCTGAGAATTCCAGAATCATGGAAGCAGCAGAAATTCAAATCCCTAAACCTCAAATTCAAGGCCAGCTGTGGCTCCTAATTCTTACAAGAAATGAAATCTCTTTTTTTTCCCTAAGTGTAGACCATGTCTCATCTTTCACTCTATACTTCCTTTTTTTGTTTTTTTGAAATGGAGTTTTGCTCTTGTTATCCAGGCTAGAGTGCAATGGTGCAATCTTGGCTCACTGCAACCTCTGCTACCCAGGTTCAGTTGATTCTCCTGTCTTAGCCTCCCGAGTAGCTGCGATTACAGGCATGTGCCATCACACCCTACTAATTTTGTATTTTTAGTAGAGACGGAGTTTCTCCATGTTGTCCAGGCTGGTCTCGATCTCCTGACCTCAGGTGATCTGCCCACCTTGGCCTCCCAAAGTGCTGGGATTACAGGCGTGAGCTACCACGCCCGGCCATCACTCCATATTTTCTCCCCAGACAATATCTTCTAAAACCAAAGCTTGTGTCTATATTAGTGACTCCCAGCTCTTACATATCTTCATCCCAGATTCTCTCCTCTTTCAGACCCTACTATCCAACTGCGTATTTGAATATCTAAGGTATCACTCAAAAGTCAACTAACCTAAGATCAATAAATTTCGTAACTTTCCCATCAAAACTAGTCCTGTTCTAGTGTTTCCTGTCTCAGTAAATGGCATGCTTATCCATACTGTTGTGCATGCCAGAAATTCCGGAACCGTATTTGACATCCCTCTCCTTGTTCCTCCTCCAACCCACTCCCAAACCCTGTCAATTTTACTTCTTAAGTATTTTTTAAATCTGCCCACTCTCTCCATCTCCACTGTTTTCAGACTAGTTGTTCAAGTTACCATCATCTCTAGCCTGGACTGCTACAGTTTCCCCACGTTTCACATTTACTCTGAAAATTCTCCAATACATTCTCTGCGCTATGGCCAGACTGAACTTACTCAGATATACATATGGGTTGTTTTTCTTTTCTGCTTGAGATTCTCATTCACTGGCTTCACATTCGTGGCTCTTACATCCTTCATATGGTCTACTTGGCTATGCATGGCCAGCTGCTACCCACCTCTCGGACCCAGTCTCATAATGCTCTTCTCACCCTTACCTTCGGTGCTCCAGCTAAGAAGTCCTGATTCTCTTGCTTGAAGCTACAGTCCTCTTCCAGCTTCCCATAGGGCTTTGGTACCTGTTGTTTCCTTTTTCTAGAATGCCAGTCCTTCTGATCCCAATCTCGTCTAGTCAATACCTAACTCATCCTTCACTTCATTGGTCTAACATCATTTCCTCGGTTCTTATCTCTTTCTTTCAAAGCCTTTCTGTTAGTTTATAACTATTCACTCCTTACTGTGGTTATTTGCTTAATGTCTGTTTTTCCTACTAGGCTATAAGTTTTGTGAGACCAGAGACCTTATCTAGTTTTGCTCATTACTATGTTCTGAGTACTAATGCAGCCCAGAACGTACTGCTTAATAAATAAATCATCATTTAAAAATAACTAAAAATATACATCTATTCAAAATAATCTAAAAGGAGAGAATAAGTGGATAGAGTGTGGATAAAACAAGTGACAGCTACATGGAGGATTTGTTATATTATTCTGTCTACTTTCCATACATTTGAAATTGTCCATAAACGCATGCCTGTAATCCCAGCTATGCGGGAGGCTGAGACAGGAGAATCGCTTGAACCCAGGAGGCGCAGGTTGTGGTGAGCTGAGATCACGCTACTGCACTCTAGCCTGGGCAACAATAGTGAGACTCTGTCTCAAAAGAAATAAAAAATTAAAAAAAAAAAAAGAAATTGCCCATAAAATATTATGCAACTTACTAAAAAAATTAAAATACTTTGAGTCTTTGGATAAGTGGTGAACTTAATCTTACAAATAACATTGTGTTCCTTTAGAACCAGACCGAAATATTTTTATTTAACTAAAAGAAATTATACTGACCTGAAGATATTTCGGTAATAGTTAATTGGACCACTTAATGCTCCAGGCTGAGAAAAGACATAAATATAAGCTTCAAGATCCTCTGTTGTTAATTGGCATCCTTTTCTTCCAATGCCAGTGCTGTGACTGGTAAACAAATGTTTCAAAACCTAATTTAAGTGAGAAGAGAATAATTAAAACTTTTTGCTTAAATCTTTGGCTTTGGAAAGGAGATGGTGGTCATTATGCACTGACAACTCCTAATTTCTGCTCTAGCCACGTTTGAGATCTCATTGTTTATACACACATATTCTATGCATTTCTGCTTTCCTGGCTTTTTTTTCCTCTATATTCTTCCCTTCTAATCCCCTCTGCACACTTCCATTTTTATAAAAAGCATCCTATCTTCTTGTTGCCTATTTATATTCTACAAGGCCCAGCTCAACAGTTTCTTGAATAAATGACTAATTCCCCATCTGGGCAGGAAATAAAAGATAAGCCCAGGACATTGAGGAGACAAGCTATCACTGACTACAGGCATTATGTCCAAAAACCACAAGAGCCAACCTGAAGGGATGCCTCATTTAATGCCTACTGTGGGACAATTTGGGCATCCAAAAGAATAATGACTACAACTAATAGCAAATATATACTCATTACTCTAAAAGTTGTTTGTAAAAAGAAAAAGAATGAGCATATATCCCACCAATCTTGTGTGAACTATATTTCAGAATAAATTGTAAATGTGGATAAATTCTTCTTTATAGCAGAATTTAAAAAGCAGAAAGAATTATAAAATTAGAAAATCACCATTTTTCATACTCTAATGAATAATGGGCCTAGACTATGATCACTAATACATTGCTAAAATTAATTTGGCAGGATATTAGAAAATTTTGGATAGGCTGACAACTCATGAGCTCACTGGTTTCATGTGCTTCCCTGACGGGATGTATTAAGAAATACACAGCACCACTTATTAAGTATTCTTTTCAAATTAAAATTTAATCAAGCCTGTAGCTCACCAGTACCTATGAAGTAGGAAAACAATGGTTAGAGGAACAAGTCAAATACTACCATGATGAAGCAATCAGCCAAATCCAAAATGTAGATTTTTCCTCAAGGCAAATTTCTTCAATAAATAAGTAATTTTTTTAAAAGATAAGAAAAGAAAAGAAAGAAGGCACTACTATACATTTTAAAAGCCGTACAACTAAATATAAGATATAGATTTTGCTTCCTGATTCAAACAAATAAAGTAGTATATCAAGACAGTTATGATAGCTAATGAAATTTAAATGGGTATTAAATGATATTGAGGAGTTGTCATTTATGATGTTAGATTTGATAGTGGCATTGGGGTTAGGTTTTCTGTTTATTGTTTTTAAATTCTTATCCCATCACAGTTACACCCAGAATTATTACAGGTAAAATTCGATTATGCCTTTTAAAAATCCTCACTAATATCTAACACCATGTTGGACACATAAGACGCATTTTGGCCAGGAGTGGTGGCTCATGCCTACTATAATCCAGCACTTTGGGAAGATGAGGTGGGTGCATCACTTGAGGCCAGGAGTTTCAGACCAGCCTGGGCAACGTGGTGCAACCCAGTCTCTACAAAAAATACAAAAATTAGCCAGGTGCACACCTGTAGTACCAGCTACTTGGGAGGCTGAGGTGGGAGGATTGCTTGAGCCTGGGAGGCTGAGGCTGCAGTGAGCTATAATTGTGCCCCTGCACTCCAGCCTGGGTGACAAAGCAAATTCCTGTCTCAAAAACAAAGCAAAACAAAAACTAAAATTAAAAAAGCTTTAAATAAATTTCCAAGATACTTGCATATGACTACTAGTGTCAGTGTACGTGTGACACTAATATCTATATGTTTACTTTGTGAAGAGATTTTTTTTTTTTTAACCCCAAAGTCTTCTACTTCTGCTGCTGTTAAACCTGACATTTGTACTCCCTCAGATCCCCATGAGATGTTCTCTAAAAAGGGGTATGCCTGTAGGGGCACTGTCTCACAAAAAATTAAAAACAGCCAGGTATTTAAATACAGAAACAGAGGCTATAAAAATAAGCAAGCCTATATGCAAGTTCTTAAAACCATTTGTTAAGTTTTAATAATTTCCTTTCATTTCTCATTATTCTTCTTCAAGGTAGACTTTAAAATATTTTTCATTAATAATAATAATAATAATACATTTGTTTGATTTGCTTGGCTTACCTTGAAATCATTTATTGAGAACATAAATTCTGGGAACCATGGTATTTGGAAGAAGTAGTAATAACTGGATTTGAACAGCTGAGCAGGGTGTCGTAAAATATATTCTGAAATTAAAATGCCATGTTAGACCTTATCCAAGAGTATAAATTACTTACTGTTAGAAGAACTTCTTTTTAGGACAATTTCACTTTAAGATGATCCCATAAAATAATCCATAAGCAAGGCTTCTTTGGAACAATGGCTATGCTCTTATATCTTATTATGAGTATTTCTGGTATTTACAAAATTTATACCACTTTATTTTTTTATTTTATTATTATTATTTTTGAGACAGACCCTTGCTCTGCCACCCAGGCTGGAGTGCAGTGGTGCAATCTTGGCTCACTACAACCTCCACCTCCCAAGTTCAAGAGATTCTCCTGCCTCAGCCTCCTGAGTAGCTAGGATTACAGGTGCCCACCACTGCGCCTGGCTAAGTTTTTGTGTTTTTAGTAGAAACGGGGTTTCACCATGTTGGCCAGGCTGGTTTCAAACTCCTGACCTCAGGTGATTCACCCGCCTTAGCCTTCCAAAGTGCTGGGATTACAGGCTTGAGCCACCACGACTAGCCTTATACCACTTTAAATAAAAAGGAAGTTTCACTTAATGAAATTTTGACTCAAAAGGGAACAGGAAGCCCAAACAACACTGCTTTTCCTCCAAGGTCATTATCAGTGACCTACCACTTTTCCTAGGAATACGTGGTGATGTAATATTCTGATGTTTATAAGATTTTCCTTACAGGTTGATTCAAATTGAACACCTTGTTCATTTGGCCTCAAAAGGAACTTAAGTTTTTCCTATAAATTAATTCAAGTATCTAGAAAACCCATTCATTCAATGAATATTTGACTGTCTACTATATGCCAGGGGATTTAGCAGTGAACAAGACAGAAAAGATTCCCATAAACAATGCACTTATTACAATAAATAGGTAACAAATACAAGATCACTTTAGAGAGCAATAATACTGTAAAAAAATAAAAGAAGGCAATCTGATTAACAGTGATGTAAGGTGGGGTGGAGGGATTACTGTGTAGTAGAAGTGGTCAAGAATGCCTCTCTGGGGATGGGATATGTTTGCTGAGTACTGAATAGTAAGAGGGAGTCAGCTGTGCAATGATCTATGGAGAACATCCAGGAACAGCAAGCAGATCCTGGGCTTGGTACATTCCAGATGCCGAAAGGCCTGTGTGGCTGGTGTATGATGAATGAAAAGAAGATGGTATATGATGAGTCAGAGAGAAAAGCAGAAGCCTGATCATGTAGGACCAGAATAGTAAGATTTTAAGTGCTTTGGGAAGACACTAAACTTTTAAACTGGGGAGTAAAATAATCATATATTATAAAAAAGTGTGTACAGGCAGGCATGGTGGCTCATGCCTGTAATCCCAGTGCTTTGAGAGGCTAAGGCAGGAAGACTGCTTGAAGCCAAGGGTTTAAGACCAGCCTGGGCAACATAGCAAGACCCTGTCTCTACAAAAAATATAAAAAATTAGCTGGGCGTGGTGGTATAAGCCTATAGTCCCAGCTACTTGGGAGGCTGAGGTGGAAGGATCACTTGAGCCCAGCCTTGATGTCAAGGCTGCAGTGACTATGATTAGGCCACTGGAATCCAGGATGGGGGACAAAATGAGACCCTGCCTCTAAAAAAATGGGGAAAAAAGAATGTATGCTTGCATACTATGCAATCTTATTTTCCTTACTATAAAATTCATTTTTTCTTATTTCCAATTTCATAACTATATTCCACATAGAGTTTTTAGAAACATAATTTTCAGATAAGTTTACCATTCTTATACTAAAGTTTTACAAAGTCATAATTGAACCAGATTTATTCACCCCTGCATTAAAAGATATCAATACAATTAAGGGAAAAATATAGGCAAGTTATTTGAAAACCTCATATTGACCTGACAGGGTGGAAACTATTATTGATAAAATAATTCCAGAAATATTTCAAGTATTTTCTTATTGAAATCATCAATTCCAATTTGTCCATATAGCAACACCACTAAAATAACATTTACTGTAGGGTCCTGATCAATTGAACAAGCATGTAGTATGACTTCTGCTGTTTAATTCAACCTAGAAAAATACAGTGACTCTCAGGACATTTGAATCCTAAGCATCCATCCTACTATACCTCAACAGTGCTACTTCGGTTATCAAAAATTCATCTCTTACATTTATTTTTACTTACGTATTTACATAGTCATGGTCCCTTTCTTCCTTATCTGTTTAATTTTGAGAAAAAAATAGAAATATGTGGCTCTGAATTTTTTATTTCCTAGAGTCCTGCTGTGTAGTAGTTGCACTTGAACCTCAGAAAACTGAACAAGGGTAAAGAGTACAAAATTATAATTTTTTGCCAAAACCAAATAAAAATGTGCCTGGCCATTTTTCACAGGTGTTTAATCACTATTAAGTTTTTGAGAATTCCCTTGAAAATAGAGGTTCTCAAAGTATCATCCATGTGAATCCCGGGGGATTCCCAAGACCCTTTTAAGGTATTCAGGTTGTTAAAACTATTTCATAGCAATATTAACATATTTATTTGCTTTTTTCTCACCATGTTGAAATTTGCACCAATACTACAAAAGCAATGATGGTTAAAGCCACTGCTACTTTAGCACAAGTCAAGGCAGTAGCACTGAACAATACCAGTAGTCATCCTATTCTTCACCAGCACACACTGGTGGCAAAATAACTAATTAATTAAATTTAATTAAGTGCTAGTTTCACTTAACAGCATCCTTGATGAAATAGCAAAAAATTTTAATTAAACTTGACCTTTGAGTACATGTTTTAAATATTCTAAGTGATGAAATAGAAAGTACACATAAAGCAGTTCTGTTGTCTCAAGACAACACAAATACAATGATTGTCTCAGGGAAAAGCACTTCTACAATTGTTTGAGTTGATGGGTTGAATTAGCTCCTTTTTTTTTTCTTTTTTTTTTTTTTGAGACAAGGTCTCACTTTGTCACCCAGGCTGGAGTACAGTGGCACAATCTCAGCTCACTGCAGCCTGACCTCCTGAGCTCAAGTGACCTTCCTGCCTCCGCTCCCCCAGGTAGTTGGGACTACAGGCATGCACAACCACACCCAGCTAATTTTTAGCTGCATTTTTTAAATGTAACATCGTTTTTAACTTGAAAGAATGACTAACAACCTATCATCAGTGAAACATTAGTATTTGGCAGATAATCTCGTGAAATTAGCAAAGTGAGCCTGTCACAACAAGGAAAACAATCATCAGTATTTGTTGACAGTGATAAAAATCAGACTTTCAAATGAACCTTAGAACTTTGGAAAACTTGTATCTGCTATTGTGAGCTTCACAGCTTTGCACTACTTTAAAGGCTTTTCTGATTATATTAGGATAATGTCAAAGAATGTGATTTTTTAAATATTGTATGGTAAATGTGTCAACTTATGGAAGATCTGCATAGATCAGTGAACCAACATATTCCAATGCATGATGATACAAAACCAGGCTGGATAAAAGATCTAATAAAAGTGCTAGGGAGACCTGTGTGTTTTAATAGAGCACAGTATAAAAAATCATTTATATGTCATCACGTTCCACATTGTTACCTTTAAGAAACCATTGGCTGGGCATGGTGGTTCATGCCTATAATCCCAGCACTTCGGGAGGCTGAGGCGGGCGGATCATGAGGTCAGGCTTTCGAGACCAACCTGGCCAACATGCTCAAACCCCGTCTCTACTAAAAATACAAAACTTAGCCTTAGTGGCGTGCCTGTAATCCCAGCTACTTAGGCAGCTGAGGCAGGAGAATCTCTGGAACTAGGGAGGCAGAGGTTGCAGCGAGCCAAGATGGCGCCACGGCACTCCAGCCAGGGCAACAGAGCAAGACTCTGTCTCAAAAACAACAAAACAAAACAAAACATTAATTTTTAAGTTTGATGTAATATTAAAGAAAATCCAGTTATCCGAAAAGGCTATTAAAATAGCCTTTTGGTAAAAATCAGACTTTCAAATGAACCTTAGAACTTTGGAAAACTTGTATCTGCTATTGTGAGCTTCACAGATTTGCACTACTTTAAAGGCTTTTCTGATTATATTAGGATAATGTCAAAGAATGTGATTTTTTAAATATTGTATGATAAATGTGTCAACTTATGGAAGATCTGCATAGATCAGTGAACCTGTTAAAATAGTCTTTTTCCTCCCTTTTCCAAGTACAAATCTGTGTGAGTCCAAATTTCTTCATATACTTCAATTCAAACAACATATTGGAAGAGATTGAAGAGATTTGCAAAAATGTAAGAACAATGACACTCTTTTCACTAAAATTTTGTTTTGGAAGATGTAGTTAGTTTTCATTAAAATATGTTATTACCCTAAAACCTAAAATGCAATAAAAAAAAA